TGACATTGTTGAATAAAATCATCAATTATGTTATTTCCAGATGTCCAAGTGGTGAAAAGACTCTGTAAATGTAAACTGATACAACCTTCACAAAACCTATCAGAGTATTTTTTCAATTTACATTTGTTACATTCTTTTGGTTCACCTTCTTTATATGTTGCATTATTTAATTCAAGCCAGTAAATAAACTCTTGCTTACAATATTCTTTTTCATTTTCAAAAGGCTCCTTGTTTTTTTCAATTAATGAAAAATAATAGTCTTTTCTACTTTCTCTATCAGAATTAACATTAGCATTAGCATTATTATACATTTCTTTGTTGGTTTTTCTTACAAATTCTGTCCTTTCTGGTGATAACAAACTGTAATATGACATTATATAAAGACATAAAATATAAAACTTTGACTTGTTGTTTTAATGAATGAGAACGGTTATTTTTTTTTTGCGGACGTGTAACAAATAATTTTTTCGTACAACATTTTTTTTGAAAAAACGAAATTACATTTAATATTAAAGAACAATTTCACCATCACCAAACTATAGTGATCGATTTATCATGATTCGACAATAAAATAAATCTTTTGAAAATTTAAAAGCGATAAAAATAGAAAACAAAATTAAAACTTACAAAAATATGTACCAAAACCTGTCTTATAAGGTCGTTCTAAGTACCAATATTGATTAACTTATGTTCCTCAAACTCAGACACTAAATACAGCTCAAGCACATTATTAATAGTATTGCGTATTACTACATATTGCATGTAATTCTGTAGTTAATCAGTTTAACGCAACTCATATGTATCTAAAGGCAATTTGATTTTTTACATTTTATGTAATAATAAAAGAATTTAGTGGCCTTTTTATTTTGAAAGAAAATATACGGAAAAAAAGTCAAGTAATTTAATTAAGTAAACTTTCTAATTCAAATTATAACTTTCCATGATATTTATTCTTCTGCATCATTGCAATATACATACAATGATATAGTAATCCTTTATTCATCCCCAGGATACACATTTTTACATAATTTGGAACTTTTGATAATTCTATTTTATCATTATCATTATTGCTGCTTGTATCACGTATCAAGAGTTTTACTTACGTCAAGTACGTCAAGTGGTTTTAATTACGTCAAAGGCTTTTACTTTACTCAAATCGTCAAAATGGCCTCGATGAGAACCTACCTTTAGTCAATACTTTAGTCACGTCAACAACTAAAGTCAAAAGTTTCGTCATAAATCATTAGATTGTGAGGATTGGCATCTTTTGAAGGAGAAGAAAGAGGATTTAGGTGTCTTTGAAGAAGAAACTGGTAATTCCATTAACAGAACTGAATATTGAGTGGAATTGATTCAAAATTGGATGAATATGATTGATGATAATGAAGATATTTCTATCCTTTAGAATTTATATCTGTAAATCATACTATACATTCTGCTGATAATAATTTAGAATCGCCTGATTTTTAATTTTAAAATTAAACAATATGATTGGCTCACAAATGACAATGTCATTTAAAATTGACTTCAAATGACCCAAATGACTTGTCATTTGTCATTTGGATCATTTGAGGTCGTTTAGTCATTTTTCATCACTGCGATCTATGTAATCGTGATATAATTAATTATTGGTTATCTTTCTTGGCTATTATCAATCAAAATTGAAATTAAGTTAGCCAATCAAATTTACAGATTAATAATTAATAAATCAAATAATTAGTTGAAGCAAAGCGACCTTTTAAAAGAAACTGCAATTTCAGGACCGAAATTAATGAATACGAAGAAGTGATTTTCAAGAATTTTGTGGGCGGCCAAGAAAAAAGTTTCAGATCAGTAATATCATACAGACAGACTGTAGGGCGGTTTGCTTTAAAAGATTGTTGTAAATATGTATGTATTAATAGCAATATTAACGATCAAAACCGCCTCATTATAACTAGTTTTGCTTACATTAAAGCCCCTTCAATCTTATCAAAGATGTTGTTGCTCCGAAGATGTTGGTTTTGATGAAACGATCTTTAAGAAGCTGATAACAACTGTGTAGGAGAAAAAAAATTTTCGGATTGATGACATTATCCATGTAGTAGGACGATTTGCCCATAGATTATTGACAATTAAAATTAAAATTGTTAAAATCGTTAGTATTAAATTTCTTCATGTAACCATTACACAATCAACCAAGATTTTCGTTGGTGATAATGATAAATGGCGATGATGGAAATGATGATAATAATGGTAGTCGTGGTATTAATAATAGCAGCAGCCATTATATTAACAATGATGGTGGTGGTTGTTGCAAGCACTGCTTCTATTCATATGTGCCAGTATCTACATTAATGACATCCACATGAAGGATGAGTCACTGGAGTTCAAAAGTATTGACGAAAAAAACAGACAGTATAACGGAGTTACTTTATCATATCCAGTCAACTCAAGGTAAAAGGTAAAATTAGGAAAATATGAACTTTTTTTTTCGCTTATTCAACTTTTTTGTTATTATTATTAGAGAAATAAAATTATTTTTACGAATTGTTATTTTAATAATAAAAAAAAAATCACATTCTTTTATTTTTTATAACTTGATACTTTTCTTGATACTATGTTTCTTTTACTTGTTTAGATTTTTGAAGGTCTATAACAGTTCGCAAAAAAGCTTTCTGTTGTTTAGCTCTTGCAAAAATTTCGATTTCAGGTTTGAATTCAATCACACAAGAAGATTACGATTATTTTCTGTTAAGTAAAGGTCTAACCAATTAGGAATATTATATAGGAGAAATAAAATTCATCATCCTTAAAGGGCAAATTTTTTATCTGTTAGTTTAGTAATTTGAGAAAATCTCGAATATCAACTTGGTTGAATTTGGATGAGAGATGGCGGACCGTGTGCTCTTTTTGAATATGGTAATGGATCCTTCTGTCCATAGTAATAGTTTCACGAATGAAAATCCCGAACCGAAAGATTTTTTCCTTTTCAAATTTTAGCACGTCTGGTTAAATCACTAAGCATATCCCTTAATGCTTGGCATTTTAAACGTTTGTGGAGGTATTTATGATCGAATTCAATGAATACTCGAGCTGACTCAACTCGATATTCAGGTCCATGTTATTAATGCCATCTATTTTTCTTTCCCGCCATCTTCCTATATTTTTTGTTGCTTTACCGCGATTCTTTCTATTCCACTGGCCAAGAAGGCTTATATCCCATCGTAAACGAGATCCACATTTAGAAGTATTGATTTATTTGTTGCACCAGTAAAAAAAAATGTGATTATCTTAAACTTGGTTCAGTATTAACAACAAAAAGCAAAGCATCGTCCAATAAAATCGATGCAGATCAATTTTAAAATCCCGATTAAAAAAAAATCTGAAATTTTTTTTTTTATAAAATATAATAATAGCAATAATAATGCCAAAGGTTAAGTCCCAAAAATTTGGTCATTCACACAAAGAATCTAAAAAAAATACATTAACAAAAGCTCCTGCAGTTAGAGCGTTAGGGCCTTTATTTAATAAGAGCTTGGGACAGCACATTTTGAAAAATCCTCTTGTAGCTCAGGGTATTATAGACAAGGTATAATTAAAAAAAATTTTTGTGTTATATAGGTAGTTTTACATTTCAAGCTATTTTTTTTTCTTAACATAAAACTTGATCAATAAAATTTTCAAAGGCTGGTTTAAAAAATACAGATACTGTTCTCGAAGTAGGTCCAGGTACTGGTAATCTTACGGTTAAAATCTTGGAAACTGCCAAAAAAATTATAGCAGTTGAAGCTGATCCAAGGTTAGCAGCAGAATTAACAAAAAGAGTTCAAGGAAAGTAAGTATCCTAATTAGTTTTAGCTGAATTAATTGATTTTTCTTCTATTAAAAGATTTTATAATTTAGTAAATTTTTTTTTTCAAATATATATTAAAAAAAAAGACCTGAACAAAAAAGATTAAGTATTATGGTTGGAGATGTTATTAAAACAGACCTACCATACTTTGATGTTTGCATAAGTAATACTCCATTTCAGGTTATTAAAACTTTTTTCTTTTTTTTTTTTTTTGTGGAGAACATTCTTCATATTGATCTAATAGATGAAATTATCTATTATCTATTATATAGATCTCATCGCCATTGGTTTTCAAACTTCTTGAGCATAGACCTATGTTTCGATGTGCAATACTAATGTTTCAACGTGAATTCGCATTAAGACTTGTTGCCAAACCTGGTGATAATTTATATTGCCGATTGAGTGTAAATGTCCAACTTTATGCTAAAGTTACTCATATAATGAAGGTTTAAAATTTATTCACTCTAGATTCCATTGTTGTTGTAGTTTTTTTTAAAAAAAAACAATAATAGAAACATTAATGTGATTTTAATAGGTCGGAAAAAATAATTTTAAACCGCCTCCGCAAGTAGAAGCATCAGTAGTTAGAATAGAGCCAATTAATCCACCACCACCTATAGATTTTAAAGAATGGGATGGATTAATGAGAATCGTTTTTGTTAGAAAAAATAGGGTAGATTATTCAATTAATAATACATATATACGTATGATATATATCTATATAGTATATATATATATATACTAATCTTCGCCGTTGTTTATTTTTAAGACACTTGCTGCTAGTTTCAAAACATCATCTATATTACAAATTATAGAAAATAATTATAAAACATATTGTTCAGCTAACGAAATGGTAAAATATTTTATATTATATTTTTATATATTGTTTTTTTTTTTTTTTAAATAATAATTAAATCATATATATTTAAGATGTTGGAAGCAGATTTTGATATAAAACAAAAAGTATTGGATGTTTTAAACTCGGTTCAAATGGCTGAATCTAGAGCTGCTAAATTGGATATTGATGACTTTTTAAAGTATTTATATATATATTTAATATATTTAATTATTTAACAGATAGAAAATGATTAATTTGCTAATTATATTTCATTAAATATCATTAATGTCTTCATAGGTTACTTTATGCATTCAATCAAGCAAACATCCATTTTTGCTAATTGTTTCTTGTAAAAAAAAACTAATTTATTAAATTATTATTAAAAAAAAAAAACTTGCATAATCTCTATTACTACAATATATATTATTCTATAATGTAAGCATGATAAAATTATTTTATAGAAATAATCCTTTAATTCTTTACGTTAATATATAGAACCATCAAATAATCGGCTAACCATATTTTCAAGAGTTGCAGAGTCATATTTAATATATTTTGATGTACCTTTTGAGTAATCAGCTTGTTGAAATTTTTCCAAAAAGCGATTATAAATTGGTAAAAGTACAATTTTTATATCTCTTGTAACTTTATTACGTAATTCAAGATCGGGAATTGTATATCCCTTATGTATTTTGAAAATTTCATCAAATTCTGTATAGAAATTCTAATAATAATAATTTTTTTTTGTAGGTTAGTAAATAAATAAAAAATTTGAATTTAATACTATACAATACTTTACTTTAAGTTTTTCTTTAAAGGTTTGCTTATCATTAGGACTTAAAGTGGATTTTAAAGTACCACGGACTACAGTATAATCCATAAGATTTGCAAAACATGCTTTCCAACTATCAATATTCAAAAAAAAAACCAAATTTAATAATTTAATTAATAATATATCATTATGATGATAATAATAATATTTGGTTACATACGTATCCTGATATCCATCATTACATTTCTGAACTAAACTTTCATATTTACGTTCGACCTCCGGATCCAAAAGTTTTGAAAACTGTGTCCTTATTGCTTTCAAAATATATTGGTAGTTGTTAAGCAGAAAGATACATGTCAACGATGTCTTTTTATAAGTCCTAGCCTTACTATCAAGACTTAAGGCTAAGCCTTCCAAAGCATCACCTAATAATGATAATAATAATAATAATAATAATAATAATAATAGTAAACCGTTAAATATTTATTTATATTTTATCTAATTTAGAAAATAAAATAAAATCTTACTATAATAATGTTTGACAACATCGCTTCCAACGGTAAGCCCGCCTGCTCTATTTCTTGAAAAATTTGGATCTTTGTCTGAAACATTCCAATTACCATCACCCAAAGTCAATAAAATTTGTTCAATTGTTTCAGGATAATCTGACATTCGTTTCATATGTTGTAAAGTCTTTAAGAAAATATTATAAAGTGCGTGTGAGTATGATTATAGAAAATATATAGTTTCGAAAATAATAAATTTAATGAGATAAAAAAATACATTAATTGTCATTTCATGTATAGTGCCATCAGATGGTAACCCAGATGTTTTTGTTCGATGAGTCTAAAATAAAAATTATGATTTGAAACCTTGTTTGTTAATCAAACAATCAATTAAATAAAATTTTTAAACAACAATAATAATAATTTTTACTTTAATTTCTTCAATGAATTCAGGAATTGATCGAAGAGTAACACCTTTCAATGAATGTAATAGTTCACCATATGACACATCTTTTTTACCTGTAAGCTTCATTTATATAATAATAATAATAACAAGTAATAATTATATAACTTTGAGAACCAAAATTTAAATGCTAATTACTAAAAGAAGTTGGATTTTATTTTTTTTTAAAAAAAAAAATTTACCATAAATATATCATCAAAAGCCAGCACATGTCTATTCAATGATTCTAATATATCAAATGCCAAAAATAAGTCAGTCTCAATAAACCTTCTTACACGATTATTTAACACTTTTCCAGTCTCAATATAATTATCAAATGATTGTTGAATGGCATTTTTGAAGCCAGCTTGTACAAATTTTTGTGAGAGTACTTTTGATGCCACTTCATATTCAGTCTAAAACATTTTATTTGTTTGTGTGTTTTTAAAACCTTTTTTTTAGTAATTATATTATAACAACTTGATTATATAATTGTATTATTAAATCATTAAATGTACATATATTGGCATCTAATAATAATGGTAATAATATTATTTTACATACTTTAAACATTCTTAACATGGCTTCTGTATAAGAATTGAACCCACATGTTCCTTTTTCATAAACTGGAGTATTTCTTCTTTCTGCTGTGCTAATGGAACCTTGAGCCAGCAATGTTAAAGATTTTACCAAATAATTGGATCTTACTTCACTATATACATCAACAAAATTACTCTTGTAATCAAGTTCTTGTCCATATGTTTCCAAATAAGATGATAATTTTGCAAGGTTTTGTATTGGTGCTTGAGGGATTCCAGGAATATCCAGATCTGATAAAATATATTTTGTCAAATGGTGATTAGTTTATTAATGGATTTATTATGCAAATAATAATTTTATAAATATGCTATTTAAATTTAAACATTTATTACTTTTTGTTATATAAGATAGAGGTTCTATAGGATTACTCCTGCTGGTTAACCATTTTCTAAATAATTCTTCCAATTGTAACATAGCAGCTTTTAATATTTGTTTCTAAATTAATAAAATTTATATCAGATATATGTGTATATATAGATAAATAAATGTATGTATGTATGTATGTATGTATGTATGACTGACCAATTGTCCAATAACTTTTTCACTGCTTTTTAATCTCATTCCAGCTAAAACTTCCATAGCTTTTTTACATTTTCCAATGGATTTTAAATAAGGTACTAAATCATTCTCATTTGGCCTTCATAAAAAATATATATATATTAAAAATCTGTCTTATATTTTTACATACATCTAATCAAAAATGAATGAGCCTACCCTTTCTTTATAGTTGCTTCTTCTCTTACAACTAAATCAAAATAACCAATTATCTCAAGAACACCAGTACGTGTTTTGTCAATATCTTTTTTTTTTAAAATATTAACAATTGATGTAGTGGAAGATAAATGATTAAAAATAAGATTTAATGGAAATAAAAAAGGATACTTACTGTCAACTAATTTTGTTAGTTTTTGTGTTGACCCATGAATTGGTAAAATAGAAGCCTCTAATCTTACTAATCGATCGTCAAAAACATTAAGCATACTCGTCTACATAATTATAAATATATATTTCCAATTTTTATTAAACTGAAAAAATATAAAATGAATTTAAAATGAACATTAACAAACGAACCATCTTCTTTGTCAATTCCTCTGTCTTTTTTAAATTTTCTTCTAAATAGTCCAAATCTGCACTTTCCTCATCAAGACGTTCCATCTTTTATTATTATTACTATTATTATCTCGGGTTATTTTTCGTAACTTGTAAATTAAATATCATGTGATTTACCTATCACCCTTACTTAATTTGGAAGATTTAATCTACGAGAAAAAATGTAGTATATAACTTTGGAAATTCTCATTCATCAATTAAAGAAGTTAGAAATCAGCAAAATACACTTGAAGGTGCAAGGCTTTATTGGTTTATTAATTACGTTCTAATCTTAATCCTGATGAAATTTTTGAATTGCCTGGAACATGTGACGAATCATGTTTCAACGAACTATAATTCATATTCTTAATACATCAATCAGGTCATTAACATGATCCTGAATTGGCTGTGAATTCTGATGATATTAATGATCTTGAAAAAACACATACTTATACCTAACAAGAAATAAATAAAGTTTTTCTTTATCTTTATCTTGTTGCTTCCTTCCTTCATTAATTTTGTACTTATGGCTAAATAGTTTGGATGTTACACCTGCTGTTAATAATTTATATGAAGATCTCAAGGTTTGCTATTTTATCTATTTTTAATTTATTTGATCTTGATATTAACTACTCTTCAAAGCTTAAGCCAGGAATAGTTAATTAGAAGAAAGCAAACAAAACCAATAACAATAATCTTTCAACAAGTGGAAAATACCAATTACGCCATATTGATTGGTCAATATTAGCAGATATTGTTGACGGAACAAAAACTTTAATTCTTGGTCTTGTGGGCGTGAAATAACAGATGCAGATTTAATTCAATGGGCAAATAAAACAGCAAGATGCGGTGGAAAATCAACAAAGATGAAATAGTTTCAAAGATTCATCGTTGAGAAGTGGTATCTTTTTGATTGATTTACTAAATGGTATAATACTAGGAATAGTAGGTTTGATGGTTTGGTGACAAGAGTCATATCTGATATTTTACTAATTAAAAAAATTTTTTTATAAACCTTTTTTCAGAGGATGACGTGACATTAAATGCAAGATATTCAATTTCTATTGCAAGAAAAATTGGAGCTACTATTTTCCTATTACCTGAAGACATTGTTGAAGTTAGACCTCGTTTGGTAATTTATAATTTATTTCATATTGATTTTATATATTATTGAAAATTATAGATTTTCACAATCATTGGTGGTAGTCTAATAGCTTTAGATAATCCTAACAGCGTTAAATAAATGCTTTATCTGTATATATTTTATTATGATTGATATTTTTGTATGATTTTTATTTGTTTAATACGTATATACATATACATATTTATTATTATTTTAATGTATAAATATTTCTAAAGTGAATAAGCTTTTCTTTCCTAAAGAGCACAAAAATGCGTTTGCAATTTTGAGATCCCTTCTTGCTGTGGGGCCACTCGTAGGAAAGTAAATTGGCAAATTAAAGTCTTTTCGAGTTCTTTAAAAGTGTTCTTTGTCTTTAATACTACTTGGAATTTTTCCAAGGCCGCCTGTTCCCTTATCAAGTTACTGAATTGAGAGGTTGCAAGCATTCATCACCATACTGCTCCTTGTAAAAAATAGCGCACCTTTGACCCTTTTTTCCAAAACACCATTCTATGGTATATCAGAAGGAGTCACTCGGGTTACTTTTATTGTGAGTAATGACAACTAGAACTTCTAGAATGATAATAATATTGACCTCAAATGTTAATAAATAATATGATCAATGAAATGTTGAAGACTAAAAGTTACCGATAAACTATATATCCATTTGTTGAAAATATTAGGTTGTTCTCATTCCTTCGTTTTCGTATGTGCCAATACATATTTCATCATTATTAACATCTCCCTCCATTAAAAGCGCAAAGTCAATCATTTTCTCTGAAAAAATCGGTCAACTTTGTATTTTTTTTTTTTACGAATTGATATGATCCCATTCACGTTTAATAATAAAAACCTCAACTTGCTCTGCGGGAAAAAGTAGTGTTGGTAATAATGCGTTGATAAAAATTTTGGAATTCACCCAAATCATAGATAATCATGTATTTTCCACAAAAAAAAAAGAATTTTGAAAAGGTTCTTGTTCCTATCATCAACATCATCATTAACATTAAATACTTGTGATATGATGCTGATTCTGCTTTAATTTAATTTGTGATAACTTATTCCAGTGTTTGTGTTCATGAAATATCATCTTCAACGTTATAAATATCAAATCTAATTACTGGACTTTGTAGATAGTCTATTTACAATTAAATTAGGTAACGAAACATATTATTGTTATGTATTTAATGTTTAAATAATCAATTGAAATGGTTGGAAAAAATAGGTTATCAAAAAATTTTACAATAATAATATGTAAATTTATTGATACGTAGATTTTGTATCAATTATTTGAAAAAATCAAATTTTACCCCTTCCTATATTGATTGTTTATCAACAATTACATTGTATTAGTATTTATTACTTTTATTTTGTATCAATTATTTGAAAAACTTAAATCTATTAAACCAAACATCATAACCATTACCAAAATCAGGTAAAGAACTAGGACCACAACAAACTGCATGCTCATAATCATTATTAATAACATAACTATCCCAACCATTACCAAAATAAGGTAACCAACTAGGATGACAAAGAACTGCATGCTCATAATCATTATTAATAACATAACTAAATTGTGCAGTATTATCATCATTTCTATTACTAATATTAAAAATAAAACTTTCTGTTGTATTCTTATATACATTATTCATGTTTACAATCCAGTTAAGTGGGTTATAGCCACCAAATATTTGCTCTGAATTTTGCATTTTAACAACTAAAAGGGTTTTGTTGATATTGCCACATTTTTGATAGAATTTAAACCATATATACTACTTTGATATAGAAGCTTGAATTCATATTTGACTTCCCTAAATGAAGTGTATGGTGGATTTTTTTTATCAATCCAACTTGCAAAATGCAAAATAAGATTTTGATTGATTGTCAATGATTTAAGCCTTGAGTTTAACTATTTAAATTTGGGTTTCTTGATGGTAATGAATTTAATGGTTGTTGCTTATCTGGAATTATGTAATGTTGTAAAAGGGGTTTCCATAAAATCCTAGGAAAAGGTATATCATATGGTTCAATTTTATCAAGAAAATCATCTTTAGAAATATCCTGAAATCTTATCAGAGAAAGAAAATCTTTTAATATGTTGTCTAAAGCATCAAAATTTTGTGATAACCAATTTTCAACATTGATATTATTGATTTCTCAATGTTTTGCCAATCCCCATTTAAGAATGCTTTCCCAAATAACTATTTCATCAATAGAAAAATCATCTCTTTTGAGAATTTCCAATAAAGTTGCTTTTTCCAATGATTTAAATTCACTTGATTCACAAAACTTTTCCAGATAGATATTTTTCAATTCCTTAAATTTTTTGTTAGCATAAATCAATTGTAAAATTTTAGCTGGATTTTCTTGTATATAATCTTCATAATTTTCAACAAAATATTTCATCATATATTCATCTGCTGCAGTTAATAGTTCTAATACTTCAGCTCCAGAATAATTTTCAAATTCAAATTTACATGTGTATAAAA